CCCCCCCAGCTCTCTTTTGTTTATTTTTATTATTGTTTTTTTGTCTAAAGAAGTAAGCACGCAAAGAAGCCAAGAAGATTCAGCATCTACTGTATATACGTAAAAGAATAATTTTAACCACAGATATACAATGTAATTTTTAGCCGAATCCCCTTGTCCTGCTGATTTCCTTTTTGATGGTATATGGATGTTCAACACCAATGGTGTTAGCTTAGTGTGAGAGCATCTAGATCTTGCTTGTTTATAACACTTTGTTCTTTGGTAAATGTTGACAGATTGAGGTTCTGAGGAAGAAAGGCCACTCTTACTCAGAGATCATAAATGAAAGTGTCATCGAGTCTGTTGATTCCCTGAATCCCTTCATGCATGCACGTGGAGTGTCATTCATGGTTGACAATTGCTCTACAACAGCGCGTTTGGGATCTAGGAAGTGGGCTCCTCGATTTGATTACAATCTCACCCAGCAAGCACTGGTTGCTGTCGACAATAACCTGCCAATCAATATGGATCTTATGACCAATTTCGTATGTGATCCTGTCCATGAAGCTATTGAAGTTTGTGCCCAATTGAGACCTACAGTCGACATTTCAGTTCCTGCAGATGCTGACTTTGTCCGTCCCGAGCTCAGACAAACTGTCAACTAAGGTTCTTTGTCGGTCACTTCTATTGAGAATGGTGATGGTTTTATGGAATTGGAAGGAGTAAGGCATTAGGCAGGTCCATGTTTAGTCTGATCGAGCATTTTCAAAAGTAGAGATCGTTTCTGTATGCTGTGCTTTTTGGAGTGTAAGGAGATCTACTTAATAAAATATGAAGAAAAAAAATTCACCTTTTTCTGTTATTAAACTACGTGACCTCTGTACTTTGGAATTTTATGTATTTTTGCAGATTAACTGAATAAAAACTCAGTTTGGAGTTTATTTAGCCATGGTATTAATATGTTTTCTCAATCAAAAGGTTTAAATTAATTGTATGAACAGTGTTGAGAACGTAAATTTAATTTAGAGCCTGTTTGGCCAACCGGCCGGGAGGTCAAAAACATTTTCTTTTCTTTATGGAAAAAGTACTTATATTATTCCATTCCAATTTCTTTGTAATAGAGTATCTCTCAAGGAAAATCTCGAATTTGGGAATTTGGATCCCAAGTTGATGGGTTATCCATCAGTGAGCTTCTCCGTTTTTTCATAGCTATTCTACTTTGGTGGGTTTTTGAGATTCTTTTGATGACCTATATTGAAACTAGCCTGCAGCAGCAACGGAATTGGAGATCAATAAAATATAATATAAAGTTTATCCCAAGCTTAATTCTAAGATATTTCATATTATCTCATTATACTTGAATTATTTTATTGTAAATATATATTTTTTCGTAATATATTTCTTAATTGAGTTTTTTTGCGTAATTTTCATTGAATTTTAATTTTTGCTTCCACTACAATGGCGGGAAAATGGATACCAAAATGCTTTTAACGTGTTTAACGTTCCCAGTCACTATAAATATCCTCGATGAGCTCAATATTTCAAAATTCACAACACAGAAAAACACAGTCGAAATCACTAAGAGAAACAGAGAGAGAAGATGCAAATGGTGGAAAGTAGATTCAGAATGAAAAAGAAATCACAGAAGATGACCTTAGAGAAGTACGTCGATTTCATTGACAGCAACAAGCAATTCGATCTCACTATCCCTAATCTCAATGAGGTATCTCTGCTTCTCTCTGAATCTGCGAACTGTACATGTATATATTTATCTATTGTTTTTTGTTTAGTGTGGTTTCAGTTGCTTGACTAATCGTAAATCGTTGATAATAACCATGGAGATCTGCTTGTTTTGACGTATTTCAGTATTGTTTTGGCGTTTATCCGTATTTTTTCTTACATGGAGGTGTTTTTTAGTATGAAATCGGAGATCAATGGTGTGACGGTTTGAAATTAGAGATTCTTATTATTTGTAATCATTTTGATGTTTAATTGTATGCTTAGCTCGATTTTTACCAAATCAAGTTCAAGAGATGAGTTCGGAACAGAATTGGAATAAAATTTCTGGTTTATATACCGTGATTCTCTATGTAATGTAACACGCAATTCGATTTCACTATTGCTAATCTCAGTGAGGTATCTCTCCTTCTCTATGAGTCGCTGGAGATCTGCTAGTTTTGATGTATTTCAGTATTACTTCGGTGATTATCCATATTTCTTACTCGGAGGTGTTTTTTCCGGTACGAAATAGGAGATTAATGACGTGACTCTGTGAAATTAGAGATTCTTATTATGTGTTCATTTTGATGTTTGTATCGTCAATTTCCTGATGTGTGTTGCTCGAATTTTATAACCATATCAAGTTGAAGAGATGAGTTCGGAACAGAATTGGAATTCAATCTCTGTTTCAGAGTAGCTATATGATTTGAAGTTGCAACTTATATCTACCTCAATTTCAGTGACAGTAACAAGCAGCTCGATTTCACTATTATTTATCTTAATGAGTTACCTCTCATTCTCTCTGAATCTTTGAATATGTAGAGATTACTCCCCAGTATTCAGTATCGCGTTGGTGATCCGTATTGCTTACTCGGATGTGTTTCTCCTAATTGTTTTTCCAACATGAAAACGGAGATTAATGATTCAACTGAGTGAAATTAGAGGTTCTTATTATTTGTAATCATTTTGATGTTTGAATTGTCAATTTCGTGATACATGTAGCTCCTTTCTTTTTTTTACCAAATCTGGTTCAACAGATGAGTTCGTAACAGGATAGGAATTCAATCTGTGTTATGTGCCATGAGAATAATCCTTTCTTTATGTGTCAATGATTTTTGCAGATCATCAGCTTTCACGGGTTCAAGAAAAGCAAGCGTCAAAAGGTCAAATTCATACTTTGCAATTTTTCAATCTTGTTGATCAAATATTGATTTCTTCAATCTGCTAAAATATACAGAAAGTTCTGGCCGACGCTGTGAACACAATAGAGTTAATGGACCTGCGACGCTCCACATTGCAAGAGGAGATCTCATCAGAAGCGTTCGTTACTCTCGATGAAGCAATCAGAGACCTCACTCATCTCAATTGGCAAGAGTGTTGTGTCACCTCTCTGCAAACCATTTGTTTCTCTAATGGAGTCAATGGCTCAGATCACTGCCAGGCGAAGACTAATGCGTCAGCTTCTTCAATGCCGAATATCCCACCACCAACGAAGAAACCAAAGGTTCGATCAGTTATGTCTTGTTACTTGGAATGAAAAAACAAAATTAAGAAAAATATGTATCTGGCTTTCTTCGTGGCATAGGAATACCAGAAGTCCAAATAGAACAACATGATAATAACTGATCTTGACTAGCTTGTTTTGATGCATAGTTTGATTGATAATCTGTCGTGGTTGATCCAAAATGTGGTACAATCTATGCGCAAAAAATATTGATCTCGAGCCTGAAGTGAACCTTTTCCTTGATTATTTCATAGTAATGTTTAAAATTACGATTTGATTGCATTCATGTTCTTTTCTTTAGCTGTGTAGTCATCTGAAAAATAAAACTACCTAGAGCAAGCAAACCAATCATTTCAAGACTGAAAAACTAGCTATAAGCGAAGGAAATAACAATGGGGATGCAAATCAAACGATATGCATTCATCAATTAATGTGAAAATAATCTCCAGCAAGACACATATCCAATAAACAAGTATCTATTCATTTGTTGGTGCCTTACAATTATCTATTAGCACTTGACAAACAATCCACCAGATGTTTCACCAGCCTCCTTTAATCAAATACACATGGTACATTTTACTCGTTTGGATCATCACTGCAAGAGCATACCAAAAAGACGTGGTTTAGTATGAGTAGGGAAACTTTATTAATACCAAAATAGAGACAAAGATGAATGAAGAACCCACCTCTGCATCCTCGCCCACTTTGTTTGCAGCATCTCCCTTTAGAGCCTCTTCTATTCAGACAGAAAAAAAAGAAGAGATTTTAAAATGAATAATATGTAAATCAGAAAGTTGAAGTTTTCTCTTAATAGTGACATAAGAACAATATTACATTCAAACTATATCTTTGTTATAGCCTTGTCAACTCAAAACTATATCTGCTGCATTTTGTTCATAAACCTTTCTAAAGGAAACACTTCCTAACTGCAAATGCGCATTCAAATGAAGTGCGTGTGAAACTAGAAGTGTCAATTAAGGCCCCAAATACAAGTAGGAGCAGCCGTCAGAATTATTCTATCCAATTACGAGGAGAAAAGAGCAGGTAGAAAGTTAATGAACCAGCTACGAGAATTATATAAGCACCAAAGCAACCTTGAGATCAAAACTGGCACATACCTCCATCCTCTGGAATGTCAGACGTCCACAAGGTGAGATTGTCCCTCAGAAGCTGCAGAATTAAGGTGCCATCTTTGTAGTTGTCCTCATTGAGGCTATCCAGCTCAGATATTGCTTCATCAAAAACCTGCTTAGCCAATTGGCAAGCCCTGAAGAAAACAGATTATAATCAACTGAGATGAAGAACGTGTGTGGATAAACTACGATAAACACAAAACCTCACAAACCTTTCAGGTGAGTTCATTATCTCATAGTAGAAAACAGAGAAATTTAAAGCCAAACCCAACCGAATGGGATGGGTGATTGGTAATTCAGCTTCTGCAGTAGTTGTAGCTGTCTGTACACAAAGTGTAGAATGACCAGTAAGTGGAAGTAGATAGAAATAGATATGCATGTAAAGAAAACAAATACAAACACTATACTTAAAACGTTAAAGAGAGGGGAACGGGAGAAAGGGACAAGTAAAGAGGCTCTACATAATATTTAAAATGTTATGAAGTTAAAATCTTGAAAATGCCAAAAGCCTTTACTTCCAACAGCAATGTAAAGGCTAGCAGAACATATGCTAGCGCTCACTTTAGAAACAATCGAACAAAAAAGAAGGATCATATACGACTGACAATATGTATCAGTATCTTCTTGTTTAGCAGAAAAAGAGATGATTATTGTCTTCTTACAGGTTTATAGCAATTGCATACCTGATATGCTTTTAAAGACAGATCAGAAACCTCTTTCTTGTCATCACCTGTTTTGAACTCTGCAAGATATCGATAATAATCCCCTTTCCTGCACCCAAAGATAAAGCAAACTGACAAAAATGAACAACCTATGAAGTTCTTAACTTCCAGAAAAACAAACTCAATGTTTTCGACTCAAAACAAACAATATACCAAGCCTCACATTTTGTAGTAAAACACAGTTGATTCACCAGCAGTACATGATGGAATCAGATGCTCATCAATCACAGTCATGATATTATTGCAAATGTCGGTGAGCTCTGACTCTACTTTTTGGCGGTAATTCTGGATCCGCTTAACATTCTGCTCATTTCCTCTACCCTCTTCCTTCTGCTCGATGGAAGACAAGATCCTCCATGATGCTCTCCTAGATCCAACCACATTCTTATAACCAACAGATAACAAATTCCTCTCCTCCACTGTCAGTTCAACATCCAGATTTGCAACATTCTTCATTGCATCGACCATCTCTGTAACATACGAAAAGAGTAAGGGAAAAACTTAAGCAAAGCTAATCAACAAGGAATCTGTTCTGAACACCCAAGAGAAAGAACAACAACAACAAACCCAATGTAATCCCACAATGAAGTCTGGGGATGGGGAGGGTAGAATGTACGTAAACCTTACCCCTATCTTAAGAAGGTAGAGAGGTAATTTCCAATAGACCCTCGGCTCAAAGAAAGCAGTACCAACAAGCAGAAACACCAACTAGATAGTACAAGAATCGATCCTAAAGAAACAACAAGTAGTAACAAAAATCTAAGAACACAAAAAAACAAGAATAAAACTAATACTCCGGAAATGGAAAAGCAATACGCCCGATTTCCTTCTAACCCTCTACCCTAATTATCAACCTCCACACATTCCTATCAAGGATCACGTCCTCAGTGACCTCAAAGGAGAACCAAAAATGAATTTCTGAATTTGATAAAGGTTTCCATACAGAAAAAAAATTAAACTTTTCAGGTGAAGAACTATCATGATTCTTCCTATACTCCAAGTCTCCAACAGTCGCAACTTAGTGCACTAAGCTCCCGCTATCTGCACGGTCCGAGGAAGGACCAGACTACAAGGATCTATTGTACGCAAACTCATTTCTGCTCGAAGTAACCCAAGGCACCTTAGCAACTAACTAAAACTTAAAATTTCGAAGCACTGAAGTTTGATTATTGATTATCAATTCTTTTGCCAAAATTACTCTAGTTATGCAAGTAGACTAAAAAAACATATACATTAAACTTAGATCTATTCATATAGTAGTAAATTTAAAAAATCATCTATTTGATTTACATGAGGAAGAACAAAACCCTAACCATCGTAGCGTTCAGCTTGCTCAGCAAGCCTGGCGATGTACACCAAGTTTTCACGTTCTTTGGATGAAGCCATTTTCCGATCTTCTCTCTGAGTTGAAAAAAATGGAGATATTTATCTTCTTCTTCTTCTTCTTTTTTTCACCCTTTTTGCTGTGCACCTACAAAATGTTCTTTTTACTCGAAAACGATTTTTCAGCAGTCAGACAACAAGAGTGAAAATATCAAAAGAGGGGCTTGTAGATAGAGTAAATGTGCTTTTCCTATCTTTAACTTTTTATTTTCTATAATTTAATCCCATTTCTTTTATAGTCATTCAAATTTTGCTTTGGTTACTTGTTTTTTTACCCTACCTCCGTTCAACAATATTTGTTGACTATACTATTTTGGGATGTTCAATAATACTTGTCCACTTTATAAAATCAATGAATAATTTTACACTTAGGAGTAGTTTCTAGTTTATCCTTATCATTAATAATAATTATTTTCCTATTATATTTTTTAAGACATTGTATTTATTATATTCAAATGGCAGTATAGTAAAATTACTCTTTTGTTTATAATTTCGTAAGAAGTGTCCAAAGTCAATAGTGGACAAGTATTGTTAGACAGAGAAAGTATGATTTACTGGTTAATCGAAAATAACTTTTTTACTTTCACAACAAAAGAATAAGATTATGTACACAACACCCTCTGCGGACCTTACTTATAAGATGACATTCATATGTTGTCTATTGTCATACAAAAACTGAGGCACGTGAACTTATGATCTCTTTGAAAAATTAGATTAATTGGAAATTAAATTATTTATTTAAAAGACCAAGGCTTAATTTCCACAAAATCTTTCTCACTTCAGTCAGTAAGTAATTTTTCTGGCGGTGACTTTTGGAAATATGTTTCATATAGCTAGGACCTATAATAATTTTTGACATGACTAAAAATAATTTTTCATTTTAAAATAGATATTTTTTTTGTAATATTTTGATAGGTGGAAACTCACTGTGTGAATTGTTGTTCTTACATGGTCCATGTAAGTAGATTTTCCCCTTCCACTTATTTTTTTCCAAACCAAAAAAACACACATTTTGATCATTTAACATACATATTTTTTCCATCCTCAAAAAATCCAAAGAAATGGCTGTTCTAAATTGCTACTACCTCTCAGTGACTTCTACAGCCACACCAAAATCTCAAGAATCTGCAAGCAATTCATCTCCAACACAAAATCTACCAACCAAAGTGATTCTTCCCAAAAAAAAGCCTATGAAATGGTCTACTGGAGATGCACCAGGTGAATATGGAGGACCACCAACTACAACTAAGCTAAGGAAGTATTGGGGTCAGGATAAAGATCCTCTTACCTCTGATGATTTTATTTGGAATAAAGAATTTATGGGTCGTATGAAGAAGTATGTTCAGGACCCTCAAGAAAAGGATCCTGTCTCTCCTGCAAAGGTACAATCTTTATGTACTAATACTGGTCTTTTTTGCTGTTCTTGTTTCAATGTTAAGTAGTTTCTTGAATTTTGTCATATACCATTGTGTTCTTATAATATGAAATGTTATGGCTAGGTTTTAGGAGCAAAGAGCTTATCGAGTTTTTTTCAAGTTTTTTTAAGGCAATTGAGCTGTCTTAACTTAGTTGTTGCATACACTTAGGGTGTGTTCCATAGGAAGGAAAATGTTTTCTATGGTAAATATTTTGTAGGAAAATAAGTGAGTTTTTATACTTATTTTCTTGTGTTCAGCACGTAAACAATAAATATTGTCCTAAGATCATTTTTGTATATAAGCTAGATAGATTTATGGAAGGTCGTACCAGGGTAGGAGTGTAGGGGTGAAGATGAGGTGTATTGGAGTGTGGAAAGGACACAATCAATGTGGAATGCTACTTGTTTTCCCTACTTCAACTAGTGAAGTCATATTTCTCATTTTTAAGGAACTTGTTTTCCTAGATAAAATATTTTCCAAAATTTTTAACTAACCGAACAAGAGAAAATTGGAAAACATTTCCTGGAAAATGGTTTCCTCCATACCGAACACACCTTAGTTAAGTCTGGTTTTCGTCGGGAGTAATTCTTTGTTTGGTTCAAGGTAAGTGTGC